TATCAAATTAAATGAATCGAATCGTCAAAAGCTAATTGCATCTTCACAAAGATGTCAATAAACCCCAAAATATCACTTCTTAGTATCAATTTCTAATGATTATTCACCCTAATAATAAAAGAAATATTTGCAAAATATAATTAATATCAGATATGTTGAATAAACAGGAGGCAGATCTTTAGTCATAGGTTATTACTTTAATTATATAAAACTGTAAAATGGGATACTAACAGATAATATATGCTATTACATCTTTTTAATAAATAATCTGACATACTAAAAATTTCTGATGGCATAATATGACCAGATTCAAGTAAATTTTAGATACATTTTGAAAGTTTACAATAAGATCGATTATTTAAAGTTAGTCTAATTATGTAGAATATTACAAAAAACAAAATATTGAAATATTAAATTTATTTTGCCTGATACATAACGATAGTGTCAAATTATTTAAAGTTAATAAAATACACATGTTTGTATAGAATTTCACAATATTAATGGAATAAAATATTCTACTATCCTTTTTTGGTGAGGATAGATATTCATTTTTACCAGACCCATAGTAAACGCTATATAAATGTTTAAAGTTAATTGTTGTGTTACTTTACTTTCATCTAATTATATAAAATTCATGTTTTATGTAGAAACCGGATATTAATGGGATAAAATATACTACTACACTTTTTTTGATAAAAAACAATTATCAACATTACCAGACATATGGTAAATATTAATTTGTATTACTGTATTACTTGTTTACTAGTGCTGTCATGCTATACTTGAAAAAAAAAATCTTTTTTCTATTGTAAGGTTAAAATTTATAGTTTTTTGCCGATTTGAAGAATAATGAGACATGTGATAATAGTGGTGAAATTATAGTACTAAATAACTTAATTATTAATGCTAACAAATAGAATAGTGATAAAAAATATGCTGTCACACCTTTTTTGCAAATTTCAAAGAGGGTGATTTCTTTTCCTTATCTACTTGTAACTAAGATAAAAATAAATAAAATAAGATATCATCATATAAATTATATAAATTTCAAAGTTATAGTATCGAACTACTTTAATGAATATTTGCCTATTAGCCGTAACGTAAAGCCAAGTATTATTTGGCATCCATTATTGCCAAATCTTCAGTATATACAAATGCTACTTACTGAAGTGCACTTAGTGCTAGACTTGTACACATTTGATATAACATCACCTGGAGATAATAAGCTTAGTGAAGGTTATCAAATTTTGTCTAAAGACTGCAGAAATAAGAGTCAGATAAGGGTTTTTGAGAAACATGAATATTTATATAAAATAGGTTCTTATTATTTTTTTTTAATAAAAGTGCGTGAAGGGGATGTGAAAACAATTACACTTGTAGATGAACATGTGAAGCAATTATCTATTTTGATATTTGCATATGCAAAATACCTGGAGTGTTTCGCTCGGGTATGTGATAAAGAATATGATCATTCATTTTTAGTGAGTTTCTGATGGTACTAACTATATTTCTTAAAGAATAGTTGCCAAAAAGGCAAATACAACTGGAAAGGTCGTATATCAGTCTACAAAGATAATCCACTTAACCTGTGCAATATTGAATATCATGGAAATCATGATCCTGATCACATTCAGAAAAGACCATTTTGAATATCAAGTTTTATAAGAAAAACAATCACCAAAAGAGTTACAAATATAACTCCTTCAATGTTGGCAACGGGTGAGTACAGAAAACAAATTATTATTATTTTTTTTGCTTCACTTTGGCAGATCACGCCAGTACCTTTATTTAATAAAGTACCATTTGTAGAAGTGCTATAAC